GGGGGTGGGCGGGGGGGCGGAGGCAGCGCTCCCCGGGCGGCGGGACCGGCCGCCCCGGCGACGCTCCCGGTTACTTTTCTTTTGTTGCCGCCGTGACCCGGGGGCGGCTTTTCCTGCGCGCCGGGCAGCTGCTTCCTTCCCCGCGGGGCCGCTCACGGTGCGCCCGGCCCCGGGCGGGGGCGGCGCTGCCCGCGGGATCAGGGCCCCGGACGGGAGTGTCGGGCCAGGTGGGGGGGACACGCACAGCCCCGGCCAAAAGTTGCCGCCGCCCGGCGGGGATGGCGGGGCCGGGCCCGCCGGGAACTTGCTGCGCGCCGCAGCCTCCCCGCCCGTCTTGTCCCGTCCCGGGGGGCGGCGGGCTGTCCCCGCCCGGCAGCGGGCAGGTGACCCGCCCCGCTGGGTACACGCGTGAGTGTCATCGGGGGGGCCGGCGCGGCTCGGGGCTCCCGCTCGGGCGGGGGGGCCGCTCGGAGCCTGCGGGGCTGGGAGCCCGCGTCCCGGGGCCGCCGCATTCAAATAGCTGGGCAGCCCCAGTCCCCGCGGGAGAAAAGCGGTGTAGGAGCCGAGCCGAGCGCTCGCAGTAGTGCCCCGTCCAGGGGAGCTGCTCCGCGGCTCGAAGGGAGCCGGAGTTGGTGCTCGGTTTCACTTGCGCTGCCTTAAACGCTGGAACTGAAAGGACCGGCGGCGGAGAGGGGAGCTGTGAGGTGGTAAATAGGTCCGGTTAATTTCTGCTTTTAAATGAACTCCATGGCTCAGTAAAACCGAACCGGTGTGGCTTTCTGGGGTAACCCCGTGGCTGGGGTAAGCTGTCAGCACATAAAGCAGTCCTCCAAGTTAAGGCAGAAGTGGTGCTATGCTGCACATACAGTAGAGCCCCATATGTTTAGGATTTTCTTTTTTTTTTTTTCCTCCCTGTTAGAAAGTTTGAAAAAAAGAGACTTTGAAGTATTTTGTTTATACTAACAGAAGAGAAAAGTTCTCCTAAGAAAAAGCTGGTGGCAGGAGTGTAGAGGAGTAGCATATGGCATTAAAAGGAGCACAGCTGGAGGTAGCATTTCCATCTGAACATGATGTCAGAGCAGCTGACAGCCTGCCATCCCTCAGCCTTTTATTCTAACACACAGACAGGGAGTTAGTGTGTGCAGATCTGTGTGTGGAGAAGGTATCTCATTCCTCTCTAACATCATCTCCACTTTGCATCTGTCTCTCCTAGTCTGCTTTTTTTCCACCGATCTAACAGACCTGGAGCCAGCAAGACTCAGAGGAAAGGACTTAATCAGGTTTATGTGTACTAAAGGTAGGAGTAGCAATAGATTAGATACAGCATATTTCTGTTTTGGTGTGTTGTTTATTGAATTTTAGAAAAAAAAAATCACATTACTTTTCTAACCAAGTTTAGAGGCAATATATGAAATTGACTATTAAATAGATAAGTGGACTTAGTCAAAAGGCTTGGGCTACAGTTGGAGAGTATCAGTGCTTGGGCACATTGTTAGCATTAACTTTAATGCATATTGTGGGAATGTCTTGGTTTGGAAGAAAGAGCAAGTTCATCCTTAATTTCTGAGACCAAAACTGCAGTGAATTTAGTGGCAAGCCTAAAGAGAGTTTTGCTTTGTGTTCTTGTCTTGCATCTTTTAAATTACTTTGCAGGGGTTTTAGTAAAATGTACGAGATGTGCGTTTTTACAAAAGGACTTTCCTAGCTAAAATGTGTTTGTAGGGAAGTCTTTCGTTACATGGTTAAATATCCAGCAGCTCAGAAATGTAGTAGCATACAGCTGTAGTGCTTCTGAAAGATAGAAATCAGTTATGTGTTTAAAAACTTTTGTACCCGGGAGAATGGCTTGACTGGTTTCCTCTTTTCTTCCTTGCATGTAGCATTTGAAATCTTTTATTTAGTGTAACAATAATTATTTGAAGGAGTTTTTGTATTTGCGACTAATTTAGAACTTGTAGATTTGAGCTGCCTGAATTGGCCAGACAGCTGTAATCGCACTCCTCTATTCTTAATCTCTTTATCTGGGCAGCAGCTGCCATATGGCCACAGTCAGCTGGATCAGATGTTTATAAGCTTCCTTCTTCGTCCCTCTCTGTCCTTTCAGCCTCCTAATTTGATCACAGCTACCTTGTGAGCTGCCCTCCAATCTTTATTTTTAGCCCTCTTAAGGATTAGGATTGATGTTGGCTGTGGGGCACTTAAAGTGATTGTATTGTAAATCTTCATGCTTTACTCTAGCAATGGTATTTTACAGAATTTAGTAGGGGTTGTGTTGTAAGTTTTAGTACGTCTTGGTTTGCGAGGAATGAAGATTTTTCAATAATATTTGCCAGCCCGGAGAGTCACGAACTGGTTAGATGGTTTGGGAGACCATTGCTATCAATCACAGAAGAATAGATTAACACAGGCTTGTAAAAGATTTTACTTTCCATTTGATTTTTTGATTTCTTTACTTATTTTTTAAGTTTATTTTGTCTTTATCATCAAGGGAGGCAAATAAAAAGCAGTTGGGTAAGAACACTACTTGGGATACTCTTTTTAAACGTGGACCCATGCTCACGTTGAATGGTTGAATGACTTTTTTTTTTTTTTTTTTTTTTTAAGCTTAGTACTGCAAACTCTGGTGTGGGAGGGGAGGGAAATTTCTGTCCTTCTGCACTGGGGAAGTGGTGCTCGTTGGCGTTTTGGTTGTTAGCTCTCTTTTGTATATTCTGCATGTTGGCAAAAAATGTTCATATTCTATTGTACAGTATAGAAGAGATTTAAAACCTTTAAAAAACCTGCTCTTACTACAAGAAGAAAACCACATGAACTTAATTTGTAAAAATATCCATTTTTGCTGTTGATATAAATTGACACAGTAAATAATTTTTGTAGTTTATGAATGTTAGACCGTCAGATTTGGGTATATTAACATTTCTTCGTGCGAGAACCTCTCCTTTTACTACAATTTGACTTTAAAAAGAATGTAGATGATCTGGTATATTTTTTTCTGCCGCTTCTGTGATCTCTCCAACTTAGTATTTAAATTTTTTTTTTTTTTTTTTTTTGTGGTGGGGGGTGTCTGCTCACCTAGGGACTCAATCTGGAGGAAGTTCTCTAAAAAAGAAACCAAAATGTTGAACAGATTTTATGAACAGCAGTGATACTTCAAAAAAAAATTGCAGATGTACCTATGCGCTCACTAGACCAGCTTATTTACCACAGAAAGGAAATCATGATTGTAGTGGTCAGTCAGGGAAAGAGTTGCCATCGTACATTTGTGTTAAATTATCTTTGCATGGTGTCAGTACCAGAATTCGGGCAATATAAATACCAGGTTTTTAGAGTGGAATTACTTGGATTTATAAGTTCTGTGATTCTGACCTACATTTAATTTTTAAAAATTTTGTTGCTTATAGGTTATGAAGACAGTATGGAGTTTCCTGACCACAGTAGACATTTGCTACAGTGTCTGAGTGAGCAGAGACATCAGGGTTTTCTTTGTGATTGCACTGTTCTGGTAGGAGATGCCCAGTTCCGAGCGCACAGAGCTGTACTGGCTTCATGCAGCATGTATTTCCACCTCTTTTACAAGGACCAGCTGGACAAAAGGGACATTGTTCATCTGAACAGCGACATTGTTACAGCCCCAGCTTTCGCTCTCCTGCTTGAATTCATGTACGAAGGAAAGCTCCAGTTCAAAGACTTGCCCATTGAAGATGTGCTAGCAGCTGCCAGTTATCTCCACATGTATGACATTGTCAAAGTCTGCAAAAAGAAGCTGAAAGAGAAAGCAACCACGGAGGCAGACAGTACAAAAAAGGAGGAAGACGCCTCAAGTTGTTCAGACAAAGTGGAGAGCCTCTCCGACGGCAGCAGCCACATGCCAGGAGATTTGCCCAGCGATGAAGACGACGGAGAAGATGAAAAATTGAACATCCTGCCTAGCAAAAGGGACTTGGCGGCTGAGCCTGGGAACATGTGGATGAGATTGCCCTCAGACTCAGCAGGCATTCCCCAGACTGGCGGAGAGGCAGAGACGCACACAGCAGCAGCTGGAAAAACAGTAGCCAGCCCCTGCAGCTCAACAGAGTCTTTGTCCCAGAGGTCTGTCACCTCCGTGAGGGATTCAGCAGATGTTGACTGCGTGCTGGACCTGTCTGTCAAGTCCAGCCTTTCAGGAGTTGAAAATTTGAACAGTTCTTATTTCTCTTCGCAGGACATGCTTAGAAACAGCCTGGTTCAGGTGAAGGTGGAGAAAGAGGCTTCCTGTGATGAGAGTGATGTTGGCACTAATGACTATGATATGGAACATAGCACTGTGAAAGAAAGTGTGAGCACTAATAACAGGGTACAGTACGAGCCGGCTCACCTGGCTCCGATGAGGGAAGATTCGGTCTTGAGGGAGCTAGATAGAGAGGACAAGGCAAGCGATGACGAAATGATAACTCCAGAGAATGAGAGAGTCCAGGTGGAAGGAAACATGGACAGCAGCTTGCTCCCTTACGTGTCAAACATACTTAGCCCTGCTGGCCAAATTTTCATGTGTCCTCTCTGCAACAAGGTCTTTCCTAGCCCCCACATCCTGCAAATTCATTTAAGCACGCACTTTCGAGAGCAGGACGGGATCCGCAGCAAGCCTGCTACCGATGTCAATGTCCCAACCTGTTCGTTGTGTGGTAAGACTTTTTCTTGCATGTACACCTTGAAACGTCATGAGAGGACTCATTCAGGTGAAAAGCCCTACACTTGCACCCAGTGTGGGAAGAGCTTCCAGTACTCCCACAACCTGAGCCGCCATGCAGTGGTTCACACGCGGGAGAAGCCTCATGCTTGTAAGTGGTGTGAACGCAGGTTCACACAGTCCGGAGACCTTTACAGACACATTCGGAAGTTTCACTGTGAGTTGGTGAACTCATTGTCTGTCAAAAGTGAAGCACTGAGCTTACCTACTGTCAGAGACTGGACCTTAGAAGATAGCTCACAAGAACTTTGGAAATAAAATTTTTATATATATAAATAATATATATATAAATCTATATAGTTGTGGTACAGTCTAAAAGCAATCTTGTTTCCTTGAACTGAAAGTTTGGCTATTAGCTTGTTTTTGCACTTTAAGGCAGCATGAATATTTCACTAATTTAGCACTCCAGTAAAAATGAACTGTAGAGGTAATCCGACAAAGTAACTAATTGCGGAGCGTATTTTCCCCCCTTTTTGGAATAGAAGTCAGCAGATAGTTAACTTCTAAGGGATCTCCAATTCAAAAAATTTGGACGTGGCTTTATTCTCCCCAAAACATTATTCTTTTAAACTCTTGATCTTTTTCCCCTCTTAAAATCTGAATGTAGAAATCTCCCAATTTTGTCAGTTCCTTTACATTTCTATAATTGCATGAGTCCTTTCTAGCTGTTGGAAACCTGAATGCTTTTAGACCCAAATGGAAAATTTCTGAAATGCTGGATTATCTATTTTTAAACAAGCGGTTGACTTAAAACTTATTATGGCAACTTCTGGATTTCTGACAGTTCCCACTGGAAAAAAAAAAAACACAAAAAAACCAACACAAAAACATAAAACAAAAACCCTGAGAGTACACTGGGATCACTGGGACTCTGTCTTACGTGAAGGTTTGCTTGGGATGAAAAAGGATATTGCAGCTTCAGCAGTGATGAACTGTGTGTTTAAAAAATGTGAATTACTGTTATTGTATACTGTAATTGATTACATGGGCCGGGGGGAGGTATCAAAGAACTTGGCAGGTTGTGTTGATGCTCTTAGTTGAGTCTTGAAAAGTAAATATTAACGCTACAGAAATGCATGATTTTCAGTATATTTTTGTCTTTGTTTGCATTGTATAACTTTAATGAGTGAGTTGAAAATTATTTAATTTCCTTAGGAAAAAACCTGACACCGTTGAAAATGCCAGTGTTATGAAGACGAGAAATGCACTGTTTTTATTTTATCTAATTTAAATTTACTTTCCCACTGTCTTTAAGTTGAGAAGAACTTAAGCTACGAGTTGCCGATTTAGCTATGTTAACAAGGAGAAAAAAAATTGAATGTTTACAACCAGGCTTCGAGATTTGCATGTGCGGTGTGCATTTACTAACCCCAGACCCCTTCTAATTGCACAGACCCCACGCCAGCTCCAACTGAGGTGCGTCCATTTCCCCAGATGAGCATTTGTAGGATTCCTGCTGCACCACTCCACCACAATAGGTCGTTCTTTTTTTTTTCCCCCGTTGAAAAGAGGCTGTGGACTGAAAAAAAAAAAGCAAAAAAAGCCCCGGGCTGAAAGGCCTGGGCAGGCCTGAGTGACAGGGGGGGCCGGGGGGGCCGGGGAAGGACTATGCGTATCCAAGCAGCAGAGACTGCAGCCTGACGTGTGGTTTTAATGACCAACACGCAGGTCAAAAGCATTTTGCACAGTGTTTGTTTTCCTGTCTTGCACTTACAAATAAGGTCTATGGGAGTAGCATGGAAAACGTTTGCTGTTTTTTCCTTTTTTTTTTCCTTTTTTTTTTTTTTCTCTGCTTTTGTTTAAAATTTGATCGCCTTAACTACTGTAAACATAGCCTATTTTTGTGCTTAAGATACTGAATGGAAAACTCCATTGTGTATTGCTGGACTGTTTTGGAAATATTTGGTCAAATGTGTGTTAATTTGGCTGTAATGGCATTTAAAACAAAAAAAAAGCTGTGAAAATGGCCTTGGAGCGTTATCTTTAGTTACTTGAATAGTTTCTAGGTTTAAAACTACATTCTTTTCTTAAGTTAGAAAAGACAATCAGTGTCTGAGGAAAATGGACTTTCTCTTGGATTTTTTTGTGGTCCTCGTGAGTGATTGCTTTTTTCCTTTCCTTAGTTTCACATTCTTCTTTTGTTCTAAAACTTAGACTGACATCTAGCTTTGACAATCATAGTATGTTTTATTTTCCTGAGGAGGGAATAACTTATAATGCTGTTTAGTTTTGTACTATTGGTGTGTTGGTGAATTTTTAAACTGTGTGCTAACTGCAATAAATTATATGAACTGAGAAATCAATTCCCTTGTCTTTTTTCCCTCTTTTAAATTATAGTTATGGAGTATTTTTTATATTGTGTAACTTTATTACTTTTGTACAGACTTCTATTGCTAACTGTGTATGGAATATGTTTTCAGTATGCTTTTGGGCACTTTGTTGCTACCATACATATTTACATCTCACTTAACATTTAAAAAAATTAAATGCTTGTGTTTTGAAAGCATTTCTCTGTGTGTAGCTCTCGATCATTCTGTAGAGGTATTTTTAAAGAATTACTATTTTTTGCTTCCCCAAAGACTTCTGCAGAAGCAATCTACTGAATTCCAGAAATTTTGCTGCCATGCAAATATCTGTGCAGGCACACAATTCCCTTTGTAGGCTTAATTTCACTCCAAGGAGCTCTCTTGGGCTCACTCTCTTGATATATCAGTCTCTATGAGAACAGTAGAGCAGAAGGCAACAACTTAATCTGGAGCATTGGCCCGGTACTGACTGGCTGTCAGTGTTACAGTAGGCAGTCAAAATGTCCAAACTACTGGTAACACATCAAAGCTGTCTGGACTACAGAGGAAAATTGAAATAATCCTAAATCTTTTGGGTATTTCTCATACAGGCTAAATGTTTCTCTTAAAAAAAAAAAAAAAAAAAAGGCAGCTTAGCTAAACCTTTGAAAAAAACCTGGTTTAGATGCTTGTTGCAGGATATATCCAGAATTCTTGTTTGAGGCTGCTCTACCCTAAGAACGAGACCAGCACTGTGGAGCCCAATGGGAATACGAAAGTAGAGCTAAATTAGAAGGCTGGAACAGAGACAGCAGAACCAATTTGATGGGGGGGAAAAAATACCTTAATTTAAACATTTCATTACACTTATCATCTGCCTAGGTACAGCTCAGGTTGTGCAGTGACCAAGTGAATCTTGGTACCTAAGCTGTTCTGCTTATCTTCCTACATCGGCGATAATTTGTATGTAGCCAAAACGATCTTTTTCACTGTTTTATTCTTTATAACAATTTTCAATCATCATTTGCTGTGTTTGCGGTGTGGATTTTTTGTGTTATTAGAGATATTTTGAAAACGTTTCCTTCTGTCAATGTTAACATCTCCGGTCGCATAGAATTCTCTGTTTTCTAGCAGCAGACCTTTTCTGTAGAATATTATGTGTAGTTAAGATGGTTTTAAGTATCGTCAAGACTGAAAGACGGCTAATATTGCAGCGCTGAAATCTGTGCAGCTGATGAGCTTTGGCTGTGGCTCCAGGCAGATTCACCATTTGTTCTCCAACATTAAGATTTTCAAGGATTGTAGATTCCTAAATAAAACTAGACTTAGAAGGAGTCCTTCTTCACAAGGGAATGGAAAACAAAACTTAGCTGTGACAAAATAATTGAAAATATTCTTTATACTTTGTGGTTTATCTAGAGATGGTTTGAACGTGTGCAGCACACACTTGTGGCCATCAAAGTGTTTCTTCAATGAAAAGATGAAACATACCTCCGTGTGTTGCTTTTCTCCACAACGTTTAATGTGCTAACTTACCTAAATAGCTGTAGCATTGTTCTTCTTTCTTCTTTTATTTTATAATGCAGTCCCTAGATAATGAAGCATGAATAAGCGTTTTATTTGGCTTGAAGATATTGTGGTAACAAAATCCTCACCGTTTGTTTTGCCATGATGGTTGAAGGCAAGGTGCGGGAATGGAAGCTGCGCTCTAAACATCGCAGGTTTAGACAACTTTCTCTGACCAATGATAGTCATCACTTTTTGACTGTGAGTACTTCTAGACTGACTCACAGGGAAAATACTATATGTATAATTTGGCTTTTTTTTTAATCACTGCCTATAACAATATTATTTTAGTTACGAATGTTTTCTCTAAACTGAAGCTTAGGGGTTTGGTGGGACAGAGACTTCTGAACTAGGCACAGCATTCTATAGACAATCTACTTACTGAGATCTGTGTGTATTAGGTGCAATTTGAAAAACTTGGTAGGAGTCTAAAACAAAACTTTCTGGCCAAGGAAGGAAAGGGCTCCTCATTGTTTTTCCTCCTCTCCTGCCTTAGGGTAAAAATGAGCACCAAACAATTGCATGTACTTCTGTACTGCTTCCTAAATTAAGCCAGTATATTCCCTCAAAACTTGCATTGCCTTGTTGGAAGCCTCAATAAAATTTTTAAATTAATTTGCAAAGCTACAGATTCCCTTTTGCCCCGTGCTGGCTCACCTGCTCAGGCAGGGCGCTGCTGTTCTCTCTCCCAGCAACAGCGTAACTCTGACTTCCTTCTACAGATAATGGTGGTGGTGGACTGACTGCCTCCTGCCTCCCCCAGCTGAATCTGCAATAATCAAATGCCCTAACTTTTTAATTGATTCCTAATAACCAACTTCAAAATTACATTTTTCCAGCCTACTCAAAAATGAAATCCTGAGCCCCCTGTTTTATGATCAGCGATGCTGCAGCAATTTGTAGCTGAGGCAAACTTGGAAGGGGAGAAAATTTCGACCTGCTCCCTCCCCTCACTTTGAAGCAATACAAATTCTTTCAGAATGAAGGTGAAATACATTTCAATCCTACAAAAAATACCCCAAAATTAGAAAACTGATGCTAAAATATTGTCATATAATTCTCCGTGGCCAGATTCTCAAACTTATTCATTATTAACACTCTTTGTCCATGTGATTTCCAAACTGAAATATATCCGGAGAGTGGGCTGTTATTAAAGAAATCTAACCAACGTATTAAGGTTTTCTTACTGGCACAATAAATGTGAATTTTTAACAGAATTGTCTTACATTTTTAAAGGGAGGAAAAACCACAGTGAACCACAAATCTTTTGGGCTCTTACAAAATATTCTACTTCAGGAGTCCTGTGAAAATTTTGTGACTCTTCATTCAGATTTTAACTCTGTCATTAAATTTAGTGATTTTGGAAATAAAAAATATTTTCTATGTGGTAAGAGAGGAGTTGGTCCTTTATGAGTGTTTTTGAGCTGAAAATGGAAAGTTCCCTTTTTCTGGCAAATGTGGACAGACAAGTCCTGCTTCTTGAAGTCTACAGTCAGCAGCTCCTGCTAGTGTGATAAAATCCAGCTAAACCTGTGAATGGGTGTTAACAAAGAAATGATACTTTTTGGAAAGGTTATCCATTTTCTTCTCGTAGGCTAAAAAGGAAGTATTACTTTCAACCAGTTGTCATACTGAAATGCTCCTGGTGCAGATTATCGGCAGTTTACCCAGCGCTGCGGAGCAGGAGTGGGCTAAGCCTTCTGCACAGCCAGGCAGCGGGAAAGCCAAAGGTGCTACAGGCTGAACTCTGGCAGGGACAGCAAATGCTGCAGAAGTTTCCAATAACAGAGATGTTTGCAAAAAAAAAAAAAAAGAAAAAAAACCCAAACATATTTCTCTTTTTCAAAAATAAGCCGTGGATTATTAAACTGGAGTATTTCTCTTACCTTCTTGGGTTAGTCAATTTTTCCTGAACCTGAACTCGTTAAAGTTGTCTGCTTATTATCCTCAGGTTCATTTTGCTTTAATTCAGTTTCTTGCTTTCAGGCTTGTTGTCCTTAGAAGACAGTCTCTCCACTAATACACCGTCATCTTCGTGCAGAATGGACACAGTTTTCATTCTTGATAACTCCTCAACATCAACCATTTGTGGCAGGGGGACACAATTTCTGTGTAAAACCGTCCCCTCACTGGGACAGACTTCATGCCTCTCCTGTACCGCAGCTGTTACCGGGAGTCCAAATTTTCTTTTCTTTTTGAGCCTGGCTTTAGCAAGATTTTGCTTGGGGCTGCAAAGGAGAAGGAAGGTATGCAGTCCAGCCTCGGAACTGAAATTAATGTGTGATTGAGTATTTTAGGGATTGCGGGAAACAAATAAATGTTTGAATGCAAAATACAGCTGGTGAATATTTTTTAGGACATTTTAATGTGCACTGTTCTAAAGCTCAGTGTTGTGCTTTAAAATGTGTGTATGTGTATGAACACGTGTGTGCATGTGAGGAAGTAGTTAAAAATAGCTTGCTAATTTTTATTTAGGTGTGCATCAAAATCACAGCCTGAGTAATTCCTTAAAGATCTTTAGAAGATGTGTTTAGTGTTCATATGTAGCAGCCAACACAATGTGGTCTGTGCAACCTTGCTTGTGATTCCTGCAGTTATCAGTGCTAATCTGAGCACCAAGAAGGATTTTTTTATGCCACGTCCAGATCATGCCAGATAGGGATTTACACAGCACATCCCCAGCCATAACAACCTAGTGCATGAAACCCTGCTTTAAATTAGTGAAATATTTAAAGAGCAAGTTACATGTACATCATGACTTCCGAAAGGATTTAACTGGTAAAGCAATATGTTACTGCCTCAGTACTACAGGAGGTATATTAAAAGGCTTAACTGTCTCAAAACAGCTCCACGGCATGGTATACGCTGTATCTGGATTTAAATCTAGATAGGGATTTAAATATTTCTTTCACAACCTTCCCCAAATACAGTTTGGTTAAGTCTTATTTATATCTATTAAGAAAATAAAAACTAGTCTCGATGCTGTATTTTATGCTTTTGTCAAATAGTCTTCAATTTTAGCATTTAAGCCACTTTTTTTAAACTTTTGGATGTGCTCCCAATATACATTTTGCAATTTTTTTTACAATTTTAAAAATGTACTTCATCTATAAATAAAACTCCTTGAAGCTGATAGAGGTTTATCATACAAGATATAATTTATTTTCAACTACATTTGCCATGTATTCACACTTAGTAAGGATTCGTGTTGAGATAATTTTAGAAATTCATACCAAGATAAAAAATATAGTTAAAATCTTAATGAAACATATTCTCTCTTCATAGGCTATAGCTACCAGGTCTTAATTTTCCATAGCTTATTCTTTCTTTTTAAAAGTAGTTTGACTGGCACCATGTATCCAGAATGTGATTTCTGTTCATAGATGATTTTCAGGCTTAAATACATGACAGCTTGAAAACACTATAAATACCAGTATTTCATTATTTTCAAATGACTGAGTGACTTTTAAGAAAAATCTGTGGTTTAACGAGCTGAGACTAACTAGGCAATTCTTGATTTTTGGAGAAATGAAGAGTTGTACATCTCTATGTTAATTATGAGAATATAATTTAATGAACACAGGAGCACTGGGATCCCTGTTGACAGACAGACCAACATACCTCTGCAAGTGTTGGATAACTCATTGCAACA